ACTCTCCTTTTATCTCCTAACTGTATTTTGTGTGATTATAGTTCTGTCTCCTCCATGGGCTATACACTCCAGTAGGATGGAAATAACTCTTGCTTGCCATTATCTCCCCAGCACAGTGCCTGGTGCATAGTTTATGCTTAATAAATGTGCTCAGTGACTGTGTTCAATGAATGAAAGTGCTGTTTAACTTTTCCTTTCTTAAAATAGGATCTTGAGTTTTGTTTTGTTTTTTTTACAACCGCCATTTCTTTAGAAAGATTATTTGCATGGAAGCCACCTCAGTCTTGGGATACTTGGAGAGTTGAGCACACTGAGTTAAAAGCACAGGCAACAAAGGCACAGGGGCTATTGACAACCAGGCAGAAGATCAGGAAAATGGACTTGTCTAGTTGGATGCCATTGTAATGTAGTATTTTTGTTTGTTTTAATGTTTATTAATTAAATTGATTGGGGTGACATTGGTCAATCTGAACATATACATTCAGGTGTGGGTTTCTATTTTACAATATTTGTATATTTGCACCGTGTGCCCATCACCCAGAGGGTGAGAGGTGTAGGGGATTCTAATATATGGTGACAGGAGAAGATTTGACTTTGAGTAGGTGTTTGATTTTTTTTTTTAAAGTTCTAATTATTAGAACTAATAGCTTTTTTTTTCCTGTGGGTCAAACAGCATAGACCCTAACTGACATTAACCTTCCAGTCCAGCACAGCTCCTCTGAAGCACTGGACTGAGTAATGCCTGTTACATCCTTTCCCAGCGCCACTGCAGTCTCAGACCTGCATGAAGTGAGGGAGTGGGCTATTACTGGGAGAATAGCATTCCTGGTAGAGCAGTAAATGGAGTCCCTGAGCCATAATTACACTGTGTCTTTAATAAGAAGGCAATGGACCTGGGCTGACTGGTGAATCTTTGGAGGGAGTGGGAGATGGAGCCATTATAAAGCCTCTTGGGGTTTTATTCCATGTATGAGGGGAAGCCATTGAAAAGTTTTCACTTGAACCTTGACAAGGACGTCTGAGAAAGCTCACTGCCCGCAATGTGGCGATTAGACTCCTCCAGGGCCCTGGGCGGGGAACCCAGTCAGGATGCATTGCAGTCATCCTGGTGAGAGAGAGGGTGGCTTGGCCCAGGGTGATAAAATGGTAATGGTAAGAAGCCGTGGGATTCTGGATACATTTGAAATTGGAGCTGACAGGACAGATCAGAGGTGGAAGGTGAGAGAAAAAGTCAAATACGACTCCAAGGTCATCTGTGAAAAGTTGCTTGTGGAGGTGAATCCAGGTCTGGAATGTAAGAGAAATCTTGATTGGAAAAGAAACCTCAGGTGCAGAGGAGTTTAAAAGGGACCTTGAAAAGTGGTATGAAAAGGTGATTTTATAGGAAAGAAAGCAATATGAAGTATATAGCACTTAAAATAAGAGTTACCGTATTTTTCGGACCATAAGACGCACTTTTTTCCCCCCAGAAGTGGGGGGAAAAAGTCCCTGCGTCTTATGGTCCAAATATAGCCTACACATATACTTTTAAAAAAAAGTTTTTTTACTTGCCCGGCTCTGTGTGGTCTCTGTGTGCTTGCCTGGCTCTAAAATGGTTCTAAATGCTGCTGTTTACTTTACAGGGTTGATTACATGTGTTTATGACTGTGATGTTGGGTTTTAATGCACATAAAATATTTTAGGACACTATTTGTTTCAGAATCTTTTTTTCTTCATTTCCCTTCTCTAAAAACTGGTGCATCTTATGGTCCGAAAAATACGGTATGTTCTGACTCAGTCCTCAAAAAGTGTATTCCTTGCCGAAGCCGGTTTGGCTCAGTGGTAGAGCATTGGTCTGCGGACTGAAAGGTCCCAGGTTCGTTTCCGGTCAAGTGCATGTACCTTGGTTGCGGGCACATCCCCGGTAGGGGGTGTGCAAGAGGCAGCTGGTTGATGTTTCTCTGTCATCAGTGTTTCTAGCTCTCTATCTCTCTCCCTTCCTTTCTGTAAAAAAATCAATAAAATATATATATATTTTTAAAGTATATTCCTTGTAGGGAAAGAGGTCATTTTTATGCTGGGCAGCACCCGGGGAGGTCAAGGGAGGCCTCAACCCGATCCAGTTTCTTGTCACAAGACAAGAAAGGATTAAGAGTGTTACAGAGGATTTAACAAAGCACAGTAAAGTTTTTAAAGCGATAGTACGACTTGAGAAGTGAGAGTGGGCAACCTTGGAGAATGAGACACCATTCAATGGGGTCTGGGAAGAAGGTTTTATTAAACATGATGACTACTGAGGGCAAAGGTACTGAAAGCACAGTAATGACTGGTTGATAGTTGCATGAGCCATCACGTGCAGGAAACCAGGTTCACAAAGGAAGCCTACAAGAAGTATGTCAAAGATGACATGAAATCAATCAAAGGGAAACTTGAAGAACAGAGACCAGAAAGAGTACAGCCTTTTATGAAAGAGTAAATCCTTTTATGATGGGCTGCAGAATGAATCAAGCACATCCTTGCTAATTTCAGAACCTCCCAGTTCTTCATTGGTGAAAACAGATGGCATGGCTGCTCTGCAGCACTTCCGTGAGGGTGGTGTGACGCAAATAGGATTTTCTTTAAGGATGGCTTAGAAATGGGAAAATGTTCACAAATTTGGCAATTTGGATCTATCACCTGTCATTGTAACTGGCTGCTGTTTTTCTTTTAAAAAACTATGAAATGCTTCATGAAATTGCATGTCGTCTGTGTGCAGGGGACATGCTAATCTTCTCTGTATCATTCCAATCTTAGTTATGTGCTGCCGAAGCAAGCACCTGGCTGCTGCTTTCCATCTACACTTGAGGACTAGGACAATAGGACTGATGTTATCTTGAGCTCTATTTATTTTGACCTTGATATATTTGGAGCAGAGGCATTGTTTTTAGAATAACATGTCATGCCCTGGCCGATTTTGCTCAGTGGATGGAGCATTGGCCTGCGGACTGAGGGGTTCTGGATTCGATTCTGGCCAAGGGCACATGCCCAGGATGTGGGCTTGATCCCCAGTGGGGGGCATATAGGAGGCAGCCGATCAATGATTTTCTCTCATCGTTGATGTTTCTGTCTCTCTCTTCCCTCTTCCTTCCTCTCTGAAATCAACAGAGAAGAAGAAAAAAAAGAAAGAAATGAATGAATTAAAAAAAAAAGAAAAAGAAAGAATAATCTATCATGTAGGTCGTCTAAAAATAAAATGCATTTGAACTCACTTGAAAAACACACACAATACTTAATGAAACATGCTTAAAAGATTTATAATAGCAAATTTTCCAAAGGTTAGAAGTGTTTGTTTTAACCATGTTTTTTTTAATGGGAAGACTACAGAAGTTATATCCTATGTCTCATCTCATCATTGTCCTTATTGCTGAGCCACTGCAGCCTGGAGTGTGGCTCATGCAGCATGGCACCATCTTCCTCTTCGCTTGGTAGAGTTTGTGTGTGGCCTTTCATGTTTTAGGAACTATAATCATTAAGTTCCTAGTTTTAAGTGGGTAAGAAGAGTATTAATGCCTGCGGTATACTTTTGGGGGTAGTCATAATATATGTGCATACACATACATATATGTGTGCATATTCATTCAAGATGCCTGCCTTACTGGCAGTGGCTGCATAGGGAATAAGCATTTCAATGATGAGTATTTTGGCTCAGAGTGGCCTCTGGAGCCAAACTCTCTATGTTCGCATCCTGGATTGGCATTAGCTAGTTCTGTAGCCTTGGGTAAGTTATTTAAACCTCTTTGTGATGGTTTATCTATTAAATGGGGATAATTAAGCATCTGCCTTATTGAATGGTTGGGAGATTAAATAAGTTAGTACATAGAAAGTACTTACAGCTTGGAGGAAGTGCTCCATGAATGTTGGCTGTTACTTAAATATTATACGTAATGTCTTTTGTTTAGAAACTTCTTCTTTGTTTAAGTTACCATTTGTGTGGGAGGAGATGTTCTTTCTAGAACCATGTCTCTGTCACATGACTGTGCAGTGTGAGCCTTAGTAATACTCTCTCAGCATTTGGGGTTGGAACTTAAGTCCGTGGCCGTACCCAGTGGAATCCAGCAAGAGCAAGAGAGAGAACTAAGCACCGTAGCAACTGTTGCTATTTGTGTCCCGAGCAGCAGCTGCTCTGGTCAGATTTATTTTTTAATCCTGATCTCACTGATACCCCGGGATGTGGCCCTGCTTTAGAGAAGTAGGTTGGTCTAGATGTCTGGTCTTTGAGGAGGTTTCATGAACACATGTTACAAGGATTCTATTCCATGTGAAATCTGAGGAGCCAGCGCTTCAGTGTATGAGAAAGGGACAAAGGCTAAGCCTCAGCAGTCAGTCCCTGAAGTGAACTGGGGCAAGATTAATCACATTACAAATCACTGTTAATGTGGGCAGTGAGACTTGCTGCTTTTCAGTCAAAACGTAATTTTGCTGTAAAAACATTCTACAGAAGATTTAGTGGTCTGTGATTCTACTGTACACACTCATACACAAATGTACACACATACATACATGATCATTTACGTATCAGCTGTGGATTTCAGAAATAAGATTATCTTTTCAATGAATGCTTTATTACAAAAGCTTTTCTGAAGTAGATAGAGCTTTTAAAAAGAGTTTGTTTCAAATAGTGGCTAGATTGATTCAGTAATTTCTAATTTTTATTTCTGATGTGTTGAAATATTTGAAGCCTTATGAAGCACCTGGAATAGTAATATGGTCCATTTCCAGATCTTGGCTGCTTTCTTACCTCAGATTCCGTCATAAACTATTTAATGAGCACCTACTGTCTACCAGGCTCTGCTCTGAATCCTGATTAGTATTTTCAAATTACATATGTAGATCATCTATTAAAATGAGATTATTTTTGTTTTTGATTCAGCAGTAATTTACTGATTTGGATGTTTTGAATTTACCATAGAGCATCATGTTGAACTAAAGATAAAGAACGTGTAACTGAGTGACTTAAAAATCAAAACATTTTCATTCTCTAGGTATTGTTAACCCAAAGAACCCCAAGGAAGCTCCAAAGTCCTTCAGCTTCGACTATTCCTACTGGTCTCACACCTCGGTGAGTGTGCTCATGTGCTCAGAGGAGCAGGGCTTTTTTAATGTGTTTCCAAGAGCCTTCAGGTCCAGCAAGAAAAGCAGAGGTTACCAACCTAGCAAAATGGAGAGTGGGGCCCTTCGCAGTATCCTTACTCAGCATAGAACCCTCAGTCTTATTAGCTTCTAGGGCTTTTTCCTAAACTAGAGTTTGCTTCTGCAACTCCTTGTTATTCTTTAGTTCTTTATTTTTCCTGATTTGTGTTGGAAAAGGAGATGTTTTAAACCAGCGGTCGACAACCTGTAGGACCTCATTGATAAAGCCTAGTTGGCAAGGGAAGGGTCTAGGCAAGGGGTTGGAAACATTCTTCACTGAAAGCTGTGTTGAGATATAGCCGTACTACTGGTAACAAGTTCAAAAAGTATTTTTATATGTGGACTTGACCTTTGATCTTTTAGTCCCATTTCCTCTTAAGAAAAGTTTATTGGAGCTCCCTGTGAATGGAAGAGTGATATTTGTAAAGTTATGGAAAATAAAATGTAATCCTGTTAGATAACTTCATGTAGATATTTTTACGTATGGCTGACCTGGATAATAGATAACTCTAGTGGTGCATGCATGCATATAAAATGAGAAAAATAAACAACGTGTAGGGGAAACTTAAAAAAATAAATATTTTAGGTGATTAATCTGATTCAAAGCACTTGTACTTATTAGAGCAGTAATCAAATAAGCATAGGAAAGAATATGAATAAAATGTCATTTCTTCTTTTAATCTTTATAGCCTGAAGATCCCTGTTTCGCATCTCAAAACCGTGTGTACAATGACATTGGAAAGGAAATGCTCTTACATGCCTTTGAGGGCTATAATGTCTGTATTTTTGCCTATGGGCAGACTGGTGCTGGGAAATCGTACACAATGATGGGTAAACAAGAAGAAAGCCAGGCTGGCATCATTCCACAGGTAAAAAACAACAAAAAAACCTCTGTTCCTCATCACTCTTAGTCTTCAATGGCTGTAACAATTATTTTTATTTAGCAAATGTTTATTCACGGACTGACATACTAGGCATGAGGATAAATCACCTCTCCCTTTCCCCCAGAGGAGCTAACAGCTAGTGGAAGAGATTGACATATATACATGTCTACTTTAAAGGTGGGAAAGCTGATTTTTTTGTAAAGGTTTTGCTATATATCCAATGTTATGTTGGTGTTTTATCTTTTGAACAGTGTCACCGGCTTCTTCAAAAAGAGATAGTATGTAACAAGCTCTGTTCTGAATTCTGGAAATACTTAATGAATGTTGTTGCTCTGACTTTTTTTTTTTTAAAGTTCCATAGATCACCCCAAGATATAGATCACCCCTTAAGAATCCGATTTTTAAAAAGCTTTATTTTTAAAATATATTTTATTGATTTTTTTTTTTTTTTTTTTTTTTTTTTTTTTTTTTTTAAACAGAGAGGAAGGGAGAGGGATAGTTAGAAACATCGATCAGCTGCCTCTTGCACACCCCCTACTGGGGATGTACCTGCAACCAAGGTACATGCCCTTGGACCAGAATTGAACCTGGGGATACTTCATTCCAAAGGCCAGTGCTCTGTCCACTGAGCCAAACTGATTAGGCAAGAATCTGATTGTTATTGATCACCTTGTTTAGAGTTAATTTCCTTTTATTGTATTAGTTTAATACTATCACTTTAAGTTTGAACAGTGAAAAATTTTTTTAAGAGCTTTTAGTCTTGATTTTATATTGTTTGGAAATGGAGAGGAGTTGTGACATCAGTATTTAGAAGGAACTTATTTTTAAATAACAGGAATATGGCTTTTGTTAAAGATATTTGGAATTAATTTTTAAGTGTTTTTTTTTGTTTTGTTTGTTTGTTGCTGTTTTTTACTATAGGCCTAGTATGACCATCTCTATATTTTGAGTATAAAATACAGAAGCAATCACTACTTTTTCTGACAAATTAGTGGACTGTAATTTTGAATTCAGCTATGTAATTGAAATGTTTAATTAGTAACAAAGATAAGAAAAACTTTAGAAAAAATGGGACATACTAACATATCTTTTTTTCTGTAAAAACATTTATTAAGACATACAGAATGGGGTAAAAGTAGGTTTACAGTAGTTTGTGTGAAAAATAATACAATAATTAATAATAATACAAGAAAAAACTTTCACATTCTCACGACTGTAAACCTACTTTTGCCACATCCTGTATATTTGGGAATTGTCCTTCTCTGTTTATAGTAATAGCAACAGTTACAGTGCTTATTAGAGAAAACATTCTGAAGCACTCCCTATGTGCCAAACACAGGTCAAGTGCTTGACAAATACTAACTCATCTAATTCTCCTAATTTGGCCTTAAGAGGTAGGTCCTATTGTTACCCTCATTTTACAGATGGGGAAACTGAGGCATGTGGTCATGTCACTTGTTCAGAATCCGAATGTAGGAAAGGTAGCTTTGGAGTCTCTATTTTTACTGCTATGTAATACTTTCTGGGCAATAAAATAATTATAGATTACAATTATGCCAAGTTATACTAAATAGTCATATTTATTTATCTATTACCACACTGAGTTTCTCCTTTTTCCTTTAATTTGTTTGTTACTAAAATTCTTGTAAATTACATCTTTTCTGATAGAATTGTAGAATATTTTATTTTTTATTTTTAAAGTATATTTTATTGATTTTTAGAGAGGAAGGAAGAGGGAGAGAGAGATAGAAACATCAATGATGAGAGAGAATCACCGATTGGCTGCCTCCTACATGATTTTTGTTAATTCTTTTAAAAACTTACCACATTATAAATAAATTCAAGGGGTAAGGATAATGAAATTTTATAATTTTTCTGATCTATAAAAATTAATGTTTTCTGTTAAAAATGTCACTGCCTGGTAGAGTAGCCTTTTGTAAAAGGTTTAGAGTCTTAAGACAGATAAAGGAAAAAGTTTTAGTCAAAATGATTCTTGAAAATGCCTTAATTTATCCCTTACCCATAGTATGTATTCTCTCTCTGTATATGTGTGTGTAGGTATGTATGTATTTATAATATATGTAGTAACTGACAATTTATAATAATAAAATGTATATATCACAGTAAGAAATGTGTGTGTAAAATATAGTTGAATAGTTTTATTGCTACAATAATTCTGATGGTAAAATTACTGTTACTGTATTATAGTATGAAGAGTTGAGTTTACATAAATTAAATGTGCCAATGACATAACACTATAAGAGACATAATTTTCTCCCCTTTCTCTAAATGTGGCTTTCTTTCTAAGGAAACATTGTTGAGATGCTGTTGTTGAGTGATTATATGGATAGGAAAAATGTATTTAAAACTGTCTTTTATTTCACTCAGAGAATTCACCTTTGTTGTTGATGCCATTAATTTTGGGGGGGAAAGAGAAAAAGGATATTACTAATTTGTGTAACAGTCCTGGGTAACTTGGTGCTTCTTTGATTTATGCTCTTCATCTCTTTCTCATCCTGTCTCTGTAGTTATGTGAAGAACTATTTGAGAAAATCAATGACAACTGTAATGAAGAAATGTCCTACTCTGTAGAGGTGAGTACAGATGCTGGTTAAAACCAGAGGCCTCCATACTCCATTGCTTCAACTGTTGCTTTTAAATTGCTCCAAATTATCACCGTACTATAGATCACTTAACCACTCCCCAGTTTTGTACTTTTAGGCTATTTCTAAGTTTTTGTTATAATGAATAATGCTCTAATTAAATCCTTATTTATAAGACTGGCTTTAATTTCATTGATTTCCTTTATATATATGTTGAATGCCAAAAAATGCATTTGAATTTCAGAAAGAAGCCCCATCAGGGAGTGTAAGCATCCAAATCTGTCTTTGCGAACATTGAGTATTTTCACATTTTAAACTTTGCCAATTTGATAAGGGAAAATGCCTCACTCTTATTTAAATTTGAATTACTTTGATTATTAGTGTGGTTGGACATCTTGTAAATGACGCCTGTGTCGGTTTACATGTTGGGTTTGCAATGTTTTTCTTATTCTTACTATTTGTGTGAACTCTTTCTCTTCAATATTATTAATAATGATTTTTTGCAGGTATATATAATCAAATCTCTTCTCCTTCTTTCCCTTTACAGTTGCTTATAAGCTTGGAAAAGTTAGTCTCCATCCATTGTATACCTGACAATGGATTTCCTTTTAAGAAGAGGTTTATAGAATTATTTTATATATATATTAATTTATTTGATAAACGTTTCCACTTTTTTGTATGTGCTTTAAGAGCTATTATTTTACACCCTCTCCATTTTTTGGTAGTTGATTTTATAGTCATTACTATTATTAAAATGTTCTGACCCTACTACATGTATGGGCAACTAATTTTCTATAAAGGAGCCAAAAACAACAATGGAGAAAGGAAAGTCTCTTAATAAATGGTGTTGGGAAAACTGGACAGCCACATGGAAAAGAATGAAACTAGACTGCTGTCTGACACATAGCATAGTGTTCTGTTAACATGAGCCTGTTCTGAGAAATTAAGCTGCTTTTAAAGCAAACTCTAGTTTTTATATTTAAAAAAATGTATATGTTTGATTATCCATAGGACTTATACAATGTCCAGTTAATCTACTTAGATGCTTTGGTTTGTTTGTTTGTTTTCTTTACCTATAAAGTGTTGCATAAATTGATAAGTTTTAAAGGATTCTGCCTGTGACCATTATACACCAAAAGGGGAATGTGCTGCTCTAAAAATATTTTTTGTTAAATTGAATTCTCTTGTCTCATCCTATAACTATTCTGTTTTGAATCATATGACAGAATTTTTTGAGCTTGTGGGTGATAAAAAATAAGCCCTTTTCTTTCATATTAGTCTGCATTCATAGGCTTATTTGGACTGCAGTGTAGATCCCCAGTTGATACAGTGGTTTCTTAAATTTATGGTCCTCTGCCTCCTTTCTTGCTTTCTCTTACTTATTCTGCTGCAGCCACACTGGATTTTTGTGCTGCTTCTGGAATATACCAGGAATGTTCCTAACTATAATACAAGGCCTTTCTGCCTGAAATTGTCTTTTCCTGGATATCTTTTGGCTAAGTTTTCCACCACCTCCAGGTCTTTTGTTCATACTTACTGTTTCTTTGAGGCTTACCTTGACCAGCCTATATAATAAAAGGCTAATATGCAAATTGACCAAATGGCAGAATGATTAATCTATATGACGCACACTGACCGCTAGGGAGCAGACACTCAACACAGGAGCTGTCCTCTGGTGGTTAGTGGGCTCCCATAGGGGAGCGCGGCTCAGCCAGAAGCCTTGTGCTGGGCTCATGGCTGGCAAACGCAGAGGTGGTGGCAGGAACCTTTTCCACCTTTGCAGCAGTGCTAAGGATGTCTGACTGCCCACGGGGAGTGGGCCTAAGCAGGCAGTTGGACATCCCTCGAGGGTTCCCAGGCTGTGAGAAGGCGCAGGCCAGGCTGAGGGACACACACACACACACACCCTCCCCGAGTGCACGAATTTTGTGCACTGAGCCTTAGTCTTTTATAATACTGCAACTTGCCTTCCACCCAGCGCTCCTGGTCTCCCTTTCCCTGTCCTTCCCCTCTCCTTCCCCATAGTACTTGCCATAGTCTAACCTATTTTATGATTTTACTTATTTTTTTTTATGTTTGTTGTTTATTTTCAGTCTCCCTTTCTAGCGTCATAAGCTCACTAGGGAAGGGGTCTTTGTCTGCTTTATTAACTGATATATATCAAGTACCTAAAAAGATCTGAAAATGCCTGGTGCTTAATGAATTGAATTTTCTAAGTGGGGGTCTATAATGTTGGTTCATTTAGAAGTAAAATAAATAGTGGTGGCTTAGTGGATTTGCACATTAGAAAATAAGTAATGGGGCACATCAACCTTTACCAGGTTATTGGGGAGCTCTTAGCCTTATACATGTGTGAAAAGGGACAGGTTTTCTAAGAACATATGATAGCTTCCTGGGATTCAGGATTGTATGTACAGGTTTAAGTACATGAGAATGATTGAAGTACCATCTCACTCTCTTGGAAAACATCTTTTAGAAAGATTATCTGTTGTCCTGTTGTTTTACTCTTGTAATAGATCAATTACTTTATCTTTCACCATCTTCAGTTTTTTTTAATTGATTTTGAAAAACAGTATAAAAATACAGATCTGAGACTGGAAAAAAGAAAAAGCCAATAGAACTAGAGATAAGGTTCCATTTAGATACTCTGAAAATGTGTCTGTAGAAATTTGAAGTTGAAAAATGCAGAAGTTACATTGTATGCTTGAGTAGCTCAGTGATACAGAAGTGTCCGATTCCTAGGGAAGCCGTATGATTAGGCTCACTGGTGAATTCACCCAACTTCAGAACGTTGTTGCTTAGAAATCTGAGCTTATAGGTTCATTAGGATCAACCCATCATTTCTAAGGCAGACTCTTGAATGAAGCTCATTTGATTGATGTTAAGAAACTAGCAGATTGGTTTATTATTTTCCTGTTACCCAGACCAGACACTTGTGATTAACTGTTACCCAGACCAGACACTTGTGATTGGTATATTATTGGGCGGACCTCTGTTGGTGGTTTTTGGTGAGCATGAAGTTAGAGGGAGAGGAGTTTATTAGATAAATGCTTAATTGCTTCGGGTGAAGAAATGATAGCCTAACACATTCATCTCCATGACAGCACATTGTCTGTGGCTTCTTCGCCTGTGAGACTTGGATAGGTCCTGCCGTACAATTGGATTCTGTGCTGACCAGTCCTTATCCCTTCTGATAGATACATTTTGGCCCATAATCAGTCACATTGTGGCCAGTCTTTTAAGTACTGGTATTAGAGAGGCTGGGCTCTTGTCTTAACTTCTCTGGAATATTGATACAGTTCCTTGGTTTTAACACTAATAGAAATATTGTTTCCAAGCTTTTGGAGAATGGCAAACATTTTAAAAAATATTGACAACTGATAAGTTGCTATTAAAAATGTTATTTTTTTCTGCTAAACACAGGTGGTAGTCACTGTGTGCTAAGATAGCTTATTTACAGCCCCCCCCCCCCCCCCCCCCCAGAAAGTCAGAAGGCTGGTCCTAACCTACGCAGTGGTATCTGTGCATATAATATGTTAATAGAAGAAAAGGGACTGGAACTACGGCATTTCACTTAGTAAAAGTTGCTAATCCTAATTACTTTTAATAAGTTTAAAAAAATTTTTTAATTAGAGGATTTTCCCCCCTGAGTTCTCATTCATTAATAATTTGTTTCTAGGTGAGCTACATGGAAATTTACTGTGAAAGAGTTCGAGATTTGCTGAATCCAAAAAACAAGGGTAATTTGCGTGTACGCGAACACCCACTTCTTGGCCCATATGTGGAGGATCTGTCAAAGCTGGCAGTCACTTCCTACACAGACATTGCTGACCTCATGGATGCTGGGAACAAAGCCAGGTATGGCAGGGAAGAGACTGATGGCTGAAGCCTTTGGCACATTTTCAGGCCCTTTGTAGTTAGGAAAGTGTTGTCATTGTGGATCTTCTGATCCTTTGGTTGTGCTGAGAAGTGAGGGCTTCAGCATATTTAGTATCTATCTTCCTATCAAAACAATGCACTGCTGGGGCACAAGAGAACTGCGGCTAAGTTTTACTATTGGGTTTTGGTCAAGTTATGCTAAAATGCTGCTTACCACATGCCTATGGTAGTAATTGATCCGGAATAAATGAACGCCTAATAAAAATTAAATGGTGGTTTCCAAAAGGGGCAACTGGAGTATGAAACATGACTTTGAGGGCGTACCTTTGGAGGGTAACTTGATAAACTCGTAAGTAGAGTGTATTGAGAGCATTTTGTGTGATAGTCTTGCACTCTGTGAATTTAAGTTGTTGCTTGTGATTGTTAATTCTTGTCATGTGGAACCTGATGTCCCTTTTAACTTGCATCTAAAAATTCCATTGTCCCGTGGTCGCCTTTATGTGTATTTAGGACAGTGGCAGCTACCAACATGAATGAAACAAGTAGCCGTTCCCATGCTGTGTTTACAATTGTTTTCACCCAGAAGAAACACGATACCGAGACCAACCTCTCCACTGAGAAGGTAGGAGAACTTCGGTCTCTGGGCTTGAGTTGTGCACAGCGGGGATTTTCAGAAGTCCTTGCAAGCCTCTGCATTTTGTGGGATTTTTACTTAATGGAGGGTATTTTATACCTTTCGCTTATCATTTTTTCCCCTCTCTAAACCAGTTTTGAGTATGGATTCATGAGTGAAATTGCAAAAGAGAAAATAGGGTAAAGGAAAAACAATCCAAGACTTTGGTTCTCAAAAACTTCTCTATGCAAGGGAATTAAGTATAGTTCTGAGGGAAGAAAATCCTCCCTTTTCTTTTTCCTGACTGGAAGCTCTTAATTATCTTATTAGCTTCTTTGTATGTGTATTTCATTTTTTAAAGCTCTGATAATGTTACTGCAGGATTAATGTTTAAGCAAACCATAAAGCAGACAAGATGGTTTGTTTTTTTTTTTTTTTGGAAAGTAAATAATGTGTACAGCAGTTCTGATGTTCTTCAGATACCTTTGCTTGTTAATTTCTCATTTTCTACAGTGGTTAAATATATAGACTTTGGAATTAAGCTGCTTGCTTTAGATCCTGGCACTGCCATTTTTCAGCAGTGTTGCCTTGGGCAAGTTACTTAATCTCTTTGTGCCTCAGTTTCCCCAGCCTCATAGGATCGTTAAAAGGGATTAAGTAGTATTATAGGTTAAGCACACATAATAGTGCTTGGCACAGAGTAACCACTTAATAAATGTTAATTTTATTGTCTTATTGGTAATAATAAGTTTATGTTGAATTCTCTGCTTATATTCCTACATAGCATATAGCTGGAATTTTTATCTGAAGTTAGAGTTATTGTACTAGCAATTATAAAAGATCCTTTGTTTATAAACTTAGTACCTTATGGAACTAGTATCACTAAAAACTAGAATTAACTTTTACCTGATAACCTCTTTGTTTTTAGTGAAAATTATTTTTAAGAATATAATCTTTCATATGGATTATCAAATAAGTTGACACTGCTTAGCCAGCGGTTACAATATTAATGCCACATAGTAGTCAGTATTCATCTGATTGGCACAAGGAATATCTTACAGGAAAGCATTTTCTTTTCTTTTATATGATGTCAAATCTACAAAAATAGTAATGTTAATCCCATAACCATAGCTTCCATGATAATCAATTTTAGATACTTTTGTCTGAACTTTCCTGAAGCATTTTAAAAAAACTTTATGTATTATTGAAGTACAGTAAAACATATATTTAAAGTATAAATCTGGATCACATATGTATACACCTATGAAAGCAATACTACAACTAGGTATCTTATCTAGTACCCCGAAAAGTTGCTTCATTCTCCTTTGTAATCTAACTACATCCCTCCTTTCACCCCCATCCTCAGGTAATCCATGACCTACTTTCTGTCACTATAAATGAATTTACAGTTTCCAGGAATAACATAGTATTTTTTGTCTGGCTTCTTTCCTTAACATAACGATTTTGAGACACATCTATGTTGTGTGTATCTGTAGTTCACTCTTTCATGCTGATTACTATTCCATTATACAGATGACGTATCACAGTTTGCTCAGTAATTCACCTGTTGATAGGCATTTAAATTGTGTCCGGTTTTTGATCTTACAAATGAAGATGCTGTTCACATGTGTGTACAAGTCTTTGTGTGTGTATTTGTTTTTGTTTCTCTTGGTTTATACCTTGAAGTAGAATGATTGAATCTTATAAGTGTATGGTGAGCTTCTTAAGAACCTGCTAACGGTTTTACGTCTTTCATTGTAAAATGATACAGTGCAACAATATCATTTATGTTCCCACCATCAGTATTTGACAGTTCCAGTTTCTGGAAGCTTCATTTTTAAATTTTTATTTATTTAATTTTTAAAATCCTAACTCTAGGATGTGTTTGTTTGTTTTGTAATATATTTTTTTATTGACTTCAGAGAGGAAGGGAGAAGGGAGTAAGAAATGGAAACATCAATAATGAGAGAGAATCATTGATCGGCTGCCTCTTGCATGACCCACACTGGAAATTGAGCCCACAACCTGGGTGTGTGCCCTGACCAGGAATTGAACTGTGACCTCTTGGTTCATAGGTTGATGCTCAACCACTGAGCCATGCTGGAAAGGCAAGGACAGGTTTTTGTTTTTTTAAATTGATTTGAGAGAGAGAGAAAAAAACACAAACATTGATGTGAAGGAGAAATGGATTGGCTGCCTCCCATACTCACCCCCCTGGGGATTGAACCTAAAACCTAGGTATGTGCCTGGAATGGGAATCTAACCTCCCCCATTGGTTCACAGCCACCAGGCCAGGGCTGGAAGCTTCATTTTAATGCCATTTAATGGGTCAATGAGTTTTATATATTTTTCTGCTTTTAAAATTTTATTGAGGTATAACATAATTGATATACATTATATTTCAGGTGTACAAAATAATCAGTTGGTATTCGTATATATTGTGAAATGATCCTCACAATAAGTCTAATTAATTTCCTTCACTATATAGCTACAGAATTTTTTTCTTACGCTGAGAACTTTTAAAATTTACTCTTAGTAACTTTCAAACATGCAATACAGTATTATTAACTGTAGTCACCATACTATTACATTGCATCCCATGACTTATTTCTTTAATAACTGGAAGTTTTACCTTTTGATTCCCTTAGCCCATTTTTCGTATTCTTCCCTAACCCCCAACTCCTTGCTTCTGGCAATCACCTGTCTTGTTCTCTGTATCTGTGAGTTCCACCCCCCACTCGCCACCCTCCACCCCCCAAATTCCAAATATAAGTGAGATCATGCGGTATTTCTCTTTCTTGGTTGAACTTATTTAACTTAACATAATGCCCTCAGGGTCCATCCATGTTGTAGCAGATGGCAAGATTTCATTCTTTTTTATGATTGGATAATATACCATTTTATGTATGTACCACCCTGTCTGTATTTTTTCATCTATCAATGGATACTTAGGTTGTTTCCTTATCTTGGCTATTGTATTGTATATAATGCTGCAATGAATATTGGGGTTGCATATATCTTTTTGAGTTAGTGTTTTCATTTTCTTTGGATAAATATGCAGAACTGGAATTTCTGGGATCATGTGGCAGTTCTGTTTTTAATTTTTTTGAGGACCTTCCATAATGTTTTCCATAGTGGCTGCAGAGTTTTACATATTTTTATGACATCATTGTAAAATATAGATAATTGCTGTGATCTTTCTGTGTGCCCGTTAAATTGATAAAAACTATATATTGACTTTGTCGTCTTATGTCATATATACATATATAAGTCCTAATCAATATTTTTACTCTTCTCCTTGCCTTAATCTTTCAGTTTTCTGCTTCTAAATGTTTTTAACTTGGACTTGGCTTATTTTTGAATTGCCGCAATGTTATTGTTCTCTACCAGGTCAGTAAAATCAGCTTGGTGGATCTAGCAGGGAGTGAACGAGCTGATTCAACTGGTGCCAAAGGGACTCGATTAAAGGTATTTTTCTTGTCAAACAAATGGCCTCATCAATAATTGTTCTATAACACGGGTAGCCATATCTGGCCCACTGACTGTTTTTATAAATAAGATTTTATTAGAGCACAGTGACATCTATTTACATATTATCTGTGTGGCTGCTTTCATGCTACAATGGTAGGGTTGAGAAGTTGTGACAGAGACCACAATACCTTTAAGAAAAATGTTGCCTATTCTGCTCTATAACTTCAAAGAAAGATTATCTGTGTATATAAAAGCCTAAGCGACCAGAATGACTGGTTCCTAACATGCACTGATCTCCAGGGGCAGATGCTCAACACAGGAGCTGTCCCCTGGAGGTCAGTGTGTTCCCACGGCCAACCTCTCCTGGCTGGCCAACCTTCCATGGTGCCTCGCCCCCCCGCCCCCCGTTGGAGCTAGGCTCTGGGCTGGGACGGAACCGGGTGAATGGTGGTGGATGCAGCCCCTTTCCCAGGGAGACCAAGGACTGATGGCCAGCCTCCTGCACCCTGTCCCTCCCCTTGTCCAGCAGGCCCTGATTGGCCTGCTGCCCGCACGCTGTGGTGGTGGCTTGGCGGCAAAAGGAGCAGGAGGGGGAGAGGCAGGGAACCACATGGTGGTAGGGCGTCCATTCCTTCTGTGCCCGGCCTGGTTACCATTGCCTCCTCTCCCGACCCCACCAAGGCTTTTGGGCCCTGGGCTGGGACAGGGAACTGGTGGTGGGTGGTGGTGGACGTGGCCCCTTTCCCAGGGGGCTGAGGGCCGGCTCCATCCTCGTGGCCAATAGCCAACTTCCTGTGTCCTGCCCTTCCCCCCAGCTGGCAGGCCCTGATCGGCTCAGCCCTGATTGCTGGCCAGGCCTAGGGACTGCACCTGTGCATGAATTTTGTGTGCCAGGCCTCTAGTATAGCATAATAATTAAGGAGGACTTCATGGTGAGAGTTGAATTGTATTTTGAGGAACAAATGAAAGTAAGGGACAGTAGTGGGAAAAAAGGATACACAAGATCCAGATGTGAAACCAAGCATGAACTCCTCTAGAGATATGCCTAACAAGAGCAAAAATTTCATGTTGGTGAATTGTGGGAAAAAGGCTGCATCTGTAAATTTTTGGAGCATAAACATCTTAAAGATACTTTAGAAGTGTGCAATTAGGCATGTGGTCTTGGCATGTTATCAAGTGGAGAGGAGGGAAGATTGAGAATTAAAGGAGGTTTTTAGAATTTGTGATCATAAAGAAACATAATGCTAACCTATGTCTAATTGTATTCTATATATTATATATGATGTGGCAGTTGTAGAAATTCTTAATTCTTTTATGTTTGGAATTGATTTTAGGAAGGAGCAAATATTAATAAGTCTCTTACAACTCTGGGCAAAGTCATTTCAGCCTTGGCGGAAGTGGTAAGTGTTACTTCATTGTAAAGAGAATTTGTCTGTTCAGCAAATGTATTTGACAGATATTTTGATTGTTTATGACGGTTGCCCTTTTTTGGCCCTCTTATATAATACCTTCCTTCCTTTAGAGCTTTTTGATAAGAGGTAGAATACACTTTGCACTAAAAGTAAAAGAGATATAGGAGAATGAAAGCAAACAGAGCTGTGTAAGCAAAAGGAAGGGCTAGGTTTTTACAAAGACCTAAGGTTTGGCTATTTTTTGAGCCTTATTTCATATCTCATAAAAACCATAAGTATTTGTTGTATCTTCTTTTACTGTACAATCTTTTCTAAGTAGGGTGCAGTACTTTGGAGTATTTTGAACAGTTTGCCATAATAAATACTGTTGATTTGGGGGCCAGTAATGTATTTCTAAAAGTTTATTTTATTATTCCTTAACAGCGGAACACTAAAACTGAAACAATTTTTTTATAAAAGGCTTTGTTATTTATGTTAGAAGCTAAGAAAATGTTAGTCATGTGTGTTCTAATTTAGTATCTTCTTTGAGTCCTTAAAAAAGAATTAAATGCCTTTTTGCTTATCTGAGAAGTCATATTCAATTTATGACTTAAAAATTACACACTGTTTTCTGTACGGAGGCTTATCCTGTGTTCTCATTCTCTTTTTTAATGCTTTCATCTGTAGGATAACTGCACCAGCAAGGTATGGTGGGAGGCTGGTAAAAATGAACTAATAGCTGTGGAATCAGTTGTGATGATTTTGAATCCTCAGCAGGGTGTATGGCACATAAGTAGGAATGGCACTTTCAGAAAAAGTTTTTGTTTTTTGTTTCATGGCTCTGGAATTTAGAATTGCTTCACAGCAAAATTAATTTAGGGAACATGATGTACTTTGAAGAAGGAATTCAGAATAAGGGGAAAGAAAGTTGAGGAAGTTTCTACATTGTGTTATCTTGCAATATCTCTTCTAGTGATCTAAAGCAGTGGTTGCCAACTGGTGGTCCATGAACCACTGGTGGTCTGTGAGGTCCAAGTTTGGTTTCCACTGGTTTAAGGAAACCTTTGGAACAGCAGTCGCCAACTGGTGGTCCGTGAGGTCCAAAAGGTTGGTGTCTGCTGATCTAATGGACTGTCTCTTGAAGAGATCTATTAACCTCTCAAGCAGATGATGAAAGAAATTTCTTAAGGGTGCCATTCTAAAACATAGCTGGCTTCTTGGAATTATTTGTATATTTAAAAAATATATATATATTTTATTGATTTTTTACAGAGAGGAAGGGAGAGAGATAGAGAGCTAGAAACGTCGATGAGAGAAACATCGACCAGCTGCCTCCTGCACATCCCACACTGGGGATGTGCCCACAACCAACGTACATGCCCCTGACCAGAATCATTCCTGGGACCTTTCAGTCCGCAGACCAACGCTCAACCACTGAGCCAAACCGGTTTCGGCATGAATAAAACTTCTTAATGTAACTACTGAAGCACTGATTTTTTTAAATTATGGGTGTAAGACAGATGACATTTATATGTATAAGACAGCAAGTAGAGAAGAAATGGCTAAAATTCCAGGGTATTTTCAAATAGAAAAGATTGAAGTTCTATTTATGCATATTCATTTAGCTATTCCTTAATTTAACTTTATATTAAATTAAGGAATAGCTAAAAATAGAATATTTTAGGCAAAGTGAGCCTGCTTATTTTTAAGTATTGTTTGCAGTCATTGTAACTGCCTCGCTTTAAATCTTGCAGCATTTTCAGTACTAACCATAGGCAAAGTGGAGTGAGAGGTCTCGGGCCTCAAGAATTTTGTAGTGGAGTGAAAGTTCCATTAGGTTGTGAATGACTGAGGGGGTTTCAGTCTCCCTTCAGGTCTGTATAATTTAAAATCTGCTATTGGAAATGACTTTCTAATTGTTGGAATGTGTGTCAGTGAGGGTGGGATGAGATGGAGGGGATATTTTTTATAAGATGTGGAATTAAAGTACTGCTTGCCTACTTTCTTTCCTCCTCAACAAACCAGAGGTTAGCTCCTTAGTTTGCCTTTTCTGAATACCTGTGTTTTTACAAGAACTAGATCATCCTTAGTGTAATTTAACTCACTATACCTGGGATGGATTATAAAACTGCTCATTGCTGGGGAGATGTATATCAGCGAACCCTGGCATTCTCCTTAGTAGCTTAACTTATCACAGGTCATTAGTCAGCCAGCAGATACTAAAGTAGCTTTTATCTACAAAAACGTTTCTTTTCAAAGGATATAACTTCCTCCTTTGCAGCACTGGCTTTACATTGGTGCTTTTTGCTTCATTCTGTACTAATGAGAAGGGTAATGGAGAGAACAGTATAATAAACACTTCATATATAGAAAATGCATTTTTTAGTCTTCACAAGTTCAAGATTAGCAAATTATATTATTTCCTTAGATCTAATACTCTAACTCTACTGATTGCATTTATTTTGGGCATAATTTCCATCTAAAGAAACCAAATTGTATTGCTCTACAAGAGTTACTAGATATGTAACAGTCCACTTGATGATCTGGTGGTTGGACAAGTAAATGCATTAACTAAATGACTGGCTCCTACACATTTGGCCTGAAATGTACAGGATTTACATTCAACCCTCAGCAAAAGTAAAAAGTGCCGAGACCGGTTTGGCTCAATGGATAGAGCGTCGGCTTGGGGACTGAAGGGTCCCGGGTTCGATTCCGGTCAAGGGCATGTACCTTGGTTGCGGGCATATCCCCAGTAGGGGGTGTGCAAGAGGCAGCTGATCGATGACTCTCTCTCATCGATGTTTCTAACTCTCTATCTCTCTCCCTTCCTCTCTGTACAAAATCAATAAAATATATTAAAAAAAAAAAAAAAAAAAAAGTAAAAAGTAATATTTGAGATTGGGTATTAGATAATATTAAGGAGTTACTGTTAATTTTGTTAAGTGTGTAATGGTCATGCAGTTATGTTTTTTTAATCTTTCTCTGTTTGAGATTTGTACCTGAAGTATTTATAGGTGAAATGTTGGACTTCCTTTAAAACATTACCAGCTATAAAAGACATGACATGGACAGGATAATTGATAGTAGTAGTATGTTGATGTTTAATTTCCTTAATTTGGTCTTTGAACTGTAAAAGACCTTATCGGCTAAGGGCTTAGGTATAAAAAGGGCATGATGCAATTTACTCCAAAATATTTCAGGAGTAAAAAGTGTAGAATAGTGTTTGAGGGGTAATTTCAAAATATTGAAAATGGTTAAGAGCTGCATGATGAATATATGATAACTCGTATTACTCTTTAAACTGTTGTGTATGTTACACATTTTTCAAAATAAAATATAGAAAGAAACAATTACTTTATTACATGAGCTTTGGGGTATTGTGAAGAATTGAAGCTGTGAAGTGTTAAATTTCTACAGTGAGGGTTCTACTGTAATTTGATTTACTTGGGAATTTTAGGCGGTTTGTCTTTCATGTGATGTTTTCCTCCTTAGCAACACTAAAACCATTTCTTTCTGTTTAATAGAGTAAGAAGAAGAAGAAAACTGATTTTATTCCCTACAGGGATTCTGTGCTTACTTGGCTCCTTCGAGAAAATCTAGGTATGTTGAACACTGGTAAGCTGGTTGGATTTGCACACCTTTATTTAAACCAGGGTTTTCTCCCCTGAATCATTGACTTCCAGTAATAAACTGTGAAGTAGTTGTCTTCTTCTCTGCACACCTGCTTCAAAATATTACTCCTCTTCCTCTTTGAAAGCTTCATGTTCCTTTGAGGTATACACAGTGAGATATAACCAACCCTTACTCGTTTTTGTTGATGTCTTAGGACCTTCAGTCACTGTTTCTTTAGCCCTTTTCCCTCCTTGATGAGGAGGAGAGAGAAATCAGCTGTACCAAGCAATGCTGATAGAAGGAAGAGGCTGAGAATGGCCTTTTGGGCCGTCCACGTCACCAGTAACATTCACATCGCCAAGAGCAACTTTGGTGAACTGGCTGAGGTCTTGATCGGTGTGGGAAGAGGGAAGGTAGACATAGTAGATCCAGACACCAAGATTTGAGTACAGTGCCTGACAGGGGGACATTCAACAAGTTTATTGACTTTTGATTAAATCTTAGGATCTAAGGTTTTGCTGTCTGATCTGATACATTCAATAAAATTTTTCTAAAATGAGAGTGATTTAAGATAATCATGATTCATCTTTTTAGGTGGCAATTCTCGGACTGCAATGGTTGCTGCTCTGAGCCCAGCAGATATCAACTATGATGAAACTTTGAGCACTCTGAGGTACTCCAATTTGATCCCAATAGCTTAGAATAGTGGTCGGCAAACTCATTAGTCAACAGAGCCAAATATTAACAGTACAACGATTGAAATTTCTTTTGAGAGCCATATTTTTTAAACTTAAACTTCTAACGCCACTTCTTCAAAATAGACTTGCCAGGCCATGGTATTTTGTGGAAGAGCTACACTCAAGGGGCCAAAGAGCCTCATGTGGCTTGCGAGCCGCAGTTTGCCGACCACTGGCTTAGAAGAACACACTGCCACATTAAGACATTTTGTTAGGCCATGCATATTCTTATAGGTAGTCATTTATGTACGTGATGATCCAGCCTTCTCATAATAGGGAAAATGTGAAGAGAAGGAGACTCTTATTATAATAGAATTGACCTATGGTTTATGGTTTTCGGTTTCATTGAGAAAGGAAAAACATTTTCATAGGAAAAATATTAATATTGTTCAAATTAGATTTTTGGATAACTATTAGATAATAGTGAAAGTTTTTAAATAATATTCATATTCATAAAAAGAAGTGTCCCTTGTGGTTTTTGTCATTATAGAAATGCTTAAGTTTAAAAAAGTAATATAGTTAAGACTACATGTACCATTTAAAAAATTAGTGGAAGAATGTTTACTAATAGAGTATTTCTAAATATGAATAAGTTTCATTATTTTAATCCCAAACTTCCTACTCTTCTGTCATTAAACACACTGATATAATGAAAAGGAACACTTACAGTCTGACTAATCAGTTTTGAGTCCTTTCTCTGGTATTTATTTCTTTTGTGATCTTGAGAAAATCACTTAAATTTATCTGAGCCTTTTTCTTCTTCTTTATAAGGTATTATAAAACTTTATAATGGTATGTTAAAAAAGAAAAAAAGAAAGAAAGAAAGGTATGTTATGAAAAGTAGAGCATTTGAAGAATGGTAAAAATGAGTCTTTTTGGATCTAGATATGCAGATCGTGCAAAACAAATTAAATGCAATGCTGTTATCAATGAAGACCCCAATGCCAAGCTCGTCCGTGAATTAAAGGAGGAGGTGACACGACTTAAGGACCTTCTTCGTGCTCAGGGACTGGGTGATATCATTGATAGTAAGTGAATTCAGGACCCAATCTAATCCTTTTCTCTTCAGGGCTCTTAAAGGAACTTGATGGAGCTAGATGGTAGGGAAAGGTTTTTTTGTTTTTTGTTTTTCTTTTTTTTTATGTGTTTATTGATTTTTAGAAAGAGAGGAAGGGAGGGAAGGGAGAGATAGAAAGAAACATCAATGAAAAGGATCAAAGATCTGCTACCTCCTGCATGCCCCCTCCTGGGGATCAATCCCAAGACCCCAGGCATGTGTCCTGACCAGGAATCGAACTCTTGGGTCCTGGGTCAACACTCAACTGCTGAGCCCACCAGCCAGACTGTTTTTTCCTTAACTTCTTTAAAAAAAACAAAAAAAAAACAATGAAAATTATCTCAGAAGTTTTTTATATAGTATGTACCAGGATATCCATTTGAACTCATGAAATTAATTTTTCATGAATATATCACTGCTTGTATTTTTGTTAGGTTTCTGTTTTAGATCAGCAATGGGATTTATTTGAAACATAAAGCTATTCTCACTGAGAAACTAATTCATAAAAATATTACTTGAAATTTTTGTTTTTGTGTTACAGGTTTCTCTGGGTTAATATAATAGCAGTGACATATGTATGAATGCTCCCCACTCTATTCCCTATGAACATATGAAGGGGAAAATATTTAATTGCTCTCAAGTTCAAGAATTAGACTTCCAGAGAATGTTGTCTTACAGTATTGTCTTAAAATGAATCTAATTTTAATGTAATTCATTGGTCTTAAAATGAATCTACTTATGTCTGATTAGGCATTATGCCTAATCAGAAGTTCTCTTGAGTGAGTTAACTGGATTATTCAGGGTGAATAGCATTTGGTTTTATTTAATAGAGCATATTTATGGTGTGTGTTTTTTAGTGTAAAATTAATATTACATTATTTGGAATTCTAATAAGATTTTTCAAGGCCTCTTCTGATTTTCTAGTTTAGTTTGTCTTACTGATTAGCCTGATTAGCATGTAATTTTAGATGAATATAGTTTGTAAAGTGATAATATAATTCTGTGTTAATATTTTCATCTCCCCAAATGCCAAAATACTGCTCTGTTCCCTCTCTGTGTCACTGCTGAACCTGAACTTTGATCCTTCTTGTATTTTCCCTCCTGCTTACCTTCAGTTGATCCATTGATCGATGATTACACTGGAAGTGGAGGCAAATGTGTGTATTTCATGTATTGGTCATTCCCAGTACTCTGCTAGCTGCTTCTGCTGGATTAACCTAAAATGAGCTTTGCATGCCAGCAGTTCTAACAGTGAAATCCCAGACAGAGCGTACTGTGCGTAGATCCAGAAATGATCCAGTTTTGCCCTTCTACATTTAGCAAAGCAATCTCTGCTGCATTTCATTTTGTGTCTTGAATAAAGTTGAGAGGCTAAAGAATCTCATGTTGCTTCTACCCTTCAGTGTTTCTACTTATGTAATTAAACTGAATCCAGAGTCATAGATGATAATAGTAGTGACAGCAGCTCACGCTTATGAAGTGTATATAATGTGTCAGGCCCTGTTCTGGTACCTTGGATATATTATCTCAATCCTGTCAATAACTTAAAAGGTCCCATTATGTCCATTGTACCAATGAGGACACTGTTACCCGGAGTGGTTTGTTGGCTGTTCAGATCCGATGGTTTCTGTGTGGTCAGGTTGGGTAGTGTAACTCAGAGCCCTTGCTTTTAATCATTATTACACCTTTTTGCTCTTAATATCCTTCAAATCTGATTATTTAATAGGAAAATCCTTTTTACTTAGCTGTGTAATTGTTAGGTTTAGTGTTTATATAATTAATTGAAAATAGTCGCTTCCAGTTGGGAAGTCTCTGTGATTGAGCAGCTCTGTGACTGTTGGATTAGCATTCACCCTGGATTAGGCTAAATTGGCTTCCTCCCTATCTTGGGCCTCAGCTTGCTTGATAGTTAGGTAAATTCTTTTATTTTCTTTTTCATGAATTGCAAATTAAATTTTAAAAACTTATGTGAATGAAATTTGTGATGAAATGAGGATATTTTTTAAAGGATTGCAGATTAATCTTCCCATATGTGTTATAAATTGGTGAGGAAATAATTTCTTACCCTTTTAAGATAGTTTATCAAGTTTATTGATTTGTTGGCTTGACAGTCAGTGAGGAAACCCATAAGAGAAACCACATGTAGCCCTGGCCGCTGTGACAAAGTTAGGCCTTGAGGACACTAGATGTTCTGATTCAGAGTGGCTCTTGGACTGGACGGCTCTGTCTGAGATTTCCAAGCTGACCGACACGGTGTGGGAAAAACACCTCTTGTTCTCGCTCTTGTGCTCCCGAGGTGCTGCCAGCTTGTGGCCTCGCTTTTCCTGAGCAGCTGTGGCTTCTCCCTGAAAACTGTGCATGACTTAAATTCTAATTCCGTACCGTGCAGGAAAGCAGCCTGACCACTTCTGAATTTCCATTTCCATCTACTACACTTAATTCCTTTTAGGGCCTGCATGTGTCCAAGGACTTTCTAACCCCGCCCTTCCTCTTCCCCACCTTGCTGCCATCACCTGATGGCTAATTCTTTCGCTGCGGTTCCTATCCTTTTAAAACTTGCTTGTTTTCCTGTGCTCTATATTTGCAGATGGTGGTTTTCAAACTGTCTTGAAGCAACTGCTAGTTTTAAGGCGTTTCAATCTAATTTGATTAATTAGACATGAATAGGCCAGAAAGAACTTGTTTTTTTTTAACTCTTTGTATTAACTCATATTCTTTTTTTTATATATATATATATTTTTTGATTTTTGTACAGAGAGGAAGGGAGAGAGAGAGAGTTAGAAACATCGATGAGAGAGAGAGTCATCTATCAGCTGCCTCTTGCACACCCCCTACTAGGGATAGGCCCGCAACCAAGGTACATGCCTCTGACCGGAATCGAACCTGGGACCTTTCAGTCCCCAAGCCGACGCTCTATCCATTGAGCCAAACCGGTTTTGGCTTAACTCATATTCTTTAAGGAAAACTTAGTTTTTATATGAATTTTAAGCAATGTAGATTTTCTCAAATTTAAAAATGAGCTAATTTAAAATTGGAATGCAACAATACCTATGATTTTTTTTCTGGTGTCTATTTGAGAAGGATGATTAATAAAGAAAAGTACAACCAGCAAATTATTGAACTTAGTTGTTTGTGGCTCATTTGCCAAAACTAAGTTTAAAAGCAAAATCTCTAGCTCTATTGAAAACTTTAGTAAATTAAAGTGTGTCCCTAAAACTTGCATTTCATACTGGGAACTTGGCTTACAATGAATGACTCATGGTCATACTTTTAGGAAAAGTGAGAGTCTTACTTAGCATACACTCAGACGTAATTTTTGCGTGCTCTAATAGATTAATGTACACATACTAATTGCTCTTCCTTGTTAAGGCAAGCAATCAGCCTTAAGTTCTTAACCAGGACTTAGACAAAATTCCTGTCATTTCTACAATTACCTCTCCTATTTTTAAAAAATGATGTATTTAAAAAATTCTTTTTAGCATATTGAAATGTTCCTAAACAACGGACACTATAAGTATTCATATTTTTGTTTTAACTGTGACATTTTTGGGGGAATTTTTGCTGAATGCTATAAAGAACTGAGCCTGGCTGATATGCATTATTGATAAACAAGTGATCATCTCTTTTCCCTTACTGTGACAAACTATTGGGATTTACAGGTAGTGTAAATGTGAGGCATTGCAGATTTGGAGCCACAGAAGGAATAGAAAGGAGAATGCCTAAGCATTATCCTTTGAGTCCCAACCTGATACAACATTAACCATGCTGTAATTTTTTAGTTTCCAAATTCAGAATTGGTTCTTAACGTTTAGGATACCAGTGTAAAGACAGACATGTTTTAGAACTGCCATCTAGAACAGGTGCAACTTGTTTTTGTATGATAACATGTCTTTGTCTTGGCACTTTAATGCTTTCCTTTCTTACACGGGTGTTCCTTCCTGTTTTTGTTTTTTTCCTCTTTCTCTGTTCCTTTCCCTTTCTTCTACTTTTTCTGCCTTCCCTTCTGTCTGTCTCCCAGATCTGAAAGATTTTCAGAACAATAAGCATAGATATTTGCTAGCCTCTGAGAATCAACGCCCTGGCAATTTTTCCACAGCATCCATGGGGTCCCTTACTTCATCTTCATCTTCCTGCTCACTCAGTAGTCAGGTGGGCTTAACATCTGTGACCAGCATTCAGGAGAGGATCATGTCTACCCCTGGAGGGGAAGAAGCCATCGAACGTCTAAAGGTGAGTAACCATTTAGGCTAAATGAAAATATTTATGTAGTTCCACAAGGCCGAATTGGAATTGAAAACCACTGAGATTTTGGTTCAGCATGTGGGAGAACTTTAACTTTTTCAGATATCCTGAAAATGGAATTTGCTACTTTGTAGGATAATTAATTTCTGTTCACCAGAATGCTTGGCTCTGACCTGGCCAGGCAGAGTGGAGAGATTCAAGGGCAGATCGTAGGCTGGCCATGCAAAGTAACTGATAAGTACATAGGTATGACCATTAGTTCTGAGGTAGTTTGTAAGTCAATGAACTTGTTTAGTTAGAAATTTAGTTGGAGACTAATTAATTGGTTGAAAACAATTTGATGTGGAGCCATGCATTTATTTAGTAAAACAAATATTCAATCAAAAGAAAGTTTGCACATTGGAGTAGGTATGTATCAGGTTTAGTCAGAGACACATGAAGTGGCATCTTTTGGAAGTCCATAGAAAGTCTGGAAACCTGGTGGTCACTGCTGTGGAAGGCTGCCACCTCCTGTGCACTCACTCCCTCTCCCTCTGCCACTTTCCTGTGCAGGTCCTGCCCTGGCACTCAGCTTACTTTCCCAGTCTATTGCTGGCTCGGTCAGGTCTTGCTTGCCTCTCTCCATGAATGTGGAAGTGAGGAGCAGCAGTCTTCTGACCATGGGTTCCTCCTCCCCCCTCAGTGCCTACAGTGAGAGCAGACAGTTGTCCCCTGTGGTGCCACCCTTCAAATCACTGTGACAGCATCACAGATGCGTTTTCTTTCCTTGCTTGTCACCCCCAGGATCATGGTTTGATTCATATCTTTTGGCCTTTGTGTTCAGAAGTGCCAGGGTAGGGAAAACCAGGAGTGTGAAGAAACTGGTTAAGGAGCTGGGAAGTTGCCCTCATGCTGCCAGCTAATAATAGTCCTCTGCATCCACCACTGCTGCCCATTCAAGGACCGGGAGAGCAGTGACACTGACAGATTAACGATTGAAAAGGTTTGCTCACATTTTCACCGCTAAGAGGAATTAAGCTTGATAATTGAAGATGTCAAATGCTTCCTTTTCGGTTTTCAGGTGAGGCTGAGAAAGATTTAACATAAAGAATGGCCTTCTGCTTCTTAATCAGCCTACCTTCCCCCTGGCCATTTTACTCCTAAAATAATGTGCTTTGGAAACCAAAGTAATGATCTTGTATCTTCCTTGAGAGCATGTTAGTGGAAAGTGGCAGAGGGAGAGGGAGTGAGAAGTCTTTTCATGTTGCCAAGTGAAGAGTAATTTCTGCTGTTGTGAAATTGACTTTGACATGTTACTGAGGTCTGGAGCAAAGCCCTGGGAAGAAGGCTTTCCTCACGTGTCTTTTTGTGTAATTTTATCGCGTAGGCCTCAGGGACAGGGGCTGTGCAGGGCCACCGTGGGATTGTGGGGTCTGTGGGAGGGCAGAGGGAAGTCTCCCACTTACTATTGAATATAAAATGTGCTTTTTATTTGGGATTTTTGAGCCTTACTATTTGCTTATGAAAGCCTTAGTGCACTGATGAGATTACACCTTCCTTGAACGTACATCTTGGTGTAAAAGAAGAAATTCTTCCTAACTGCCAAGTGGGTCCAACTGAAAATAATGTTGAATGTCAGACTCTGAGAATTAGATCGTCCAGTGTTTTCCAAATAGTTTATAAGGAATAACACTGCCATTATTCTGGGAACCTTCCCCCCAACCTCCCTACTTCCCACCAAAAACAAAACAAAACAAAACAAAACTGCATTCTTCGTTGTAATGATCCTGTAAGCCAACATAAACGAAATCTTCCATCTTCCCTACCTTTAGGAAGTAGCTTCTTTGCATTCCATCTTGAGTTTTTAATGTAGCGTGGTAGTTCACTGAAGCTAAGTGCCTGAATTCTGCTCTTGTTCTGTGAATGGGGAGCATTCCATTCTGGCAGACCTGCATTTCAATGCTGTAGGCAGATTACTTCTTGCATCCACAGAAGGCAGTGTTTGTATGATAGAAATGCTTGAGAATTCCTCATTTTTGGGTTATTTCATTGTTGAGTGTGAAGGAGCTGCGTTCCTAAGACATGACACTGTAGAATAAAAATACTGTAATGGGAAACAGTAATAGAGGGGTCAATTCATTTTCCCAACATTCTATTTCCCTTTGCTTCTTAAAAAACATGATCATGTTGCTACTGCATTGTTCATTGAATAGTCTGTTTTCATATGGAGAGGTCTGTCCATGTTACGCCATCATAAACACCTGAGCCCTTCATAAATGTCTCTGGCAAAACAGAAAGGCATGTAGTTGCTTTCAGTTTTTAGTTGAAACTGAGTTGAAATGTACGTAATCTCGATTTAATTCCTATTCAGAAAATTTTCAAAGATGTAGCCATAGTCATTGTGTGGTGACAATGGCGTTTATTTATTAGTCTGACATCAGAGTGAGTGCCATTGCTTAGGCTTAGACTATAAATATCAGCAAATATCCATTACAGAAGCATGCAAGGGCTAATGCTGTGCTAGGCAGCCCAAGGCCCATACTTGGAACTCACTTATGAAGCATGCTGTGTTCAGTACAGTGAAACCTCAGCATCTGATGGCTTCAAGGAATGTTTCATGGATAAGCACTAAACTTTTAAATGTCAGAATTCAAGCTAGTTTTTTTCCATGGAAATCTTTCTGACTTGATGGATTTCTCTGCCACCATAACTGAATCATGGTGAGGAGATTAAATTGTGTTTAGCCAGCCTTGGCCGGTGTTTCTCCGTGGTTAGAGCGTCAGTCCATGCACCTGGAGGACCGTGGATTTGATTCCAGATCAAGGGCACGTACCTGGGTTGCAAGTTCCATCCCCAACTATCAGGGTGTATACGGGAGGCAACTAATCCATGTGTCTTTCTCACATAGATGCTTCTCTCTCTCTCTCTCTCTCTCTCTCTCTCTCTCTCTCTCTCTCTCTCTCTCTCTCTCTCTCTCTCTCTCTCTCTGCCTTCCCTTCCAGTCTCTTAAAAAAAAAAATCAATGGAAAAATATTCTCGGGTGAGGATTGACAAAACAAAACAAAAAAAATTTGTATTGAGCCATATAAACATAATTATTAACCAGTGCTGTACACATAGCTAGACATATGTGATGTGACAGTAAAGTTGAATGACACCTAAGCCCAGCATTCCTTGGAACTTAAAAAAAGTTCCTGATGTCACTCTGCTTTTCGGCATTTCTTTATGTGTAGTACCTGTAGGAAGGAAGGACCTTTTAAAGATTTGTCTTCTCAGCTCCTCATTGCTTAGCTGTGAATCCTCAGTTTAATCTTAAATTAGACTTCTAGAGTGGGTTGTGGGCAGACTGGACACCAGTGTGCCAGGCCTGCCTGTAGAGTGAGTTGATGACTCAGAGACTGAAAGCTGTCTTCCTGTGGGCATCTCTATTTTATTCATACTGTTTGTTACTCAGGCTTGAAGAAAGGATATCCTTCACCCTTTATTAAATAATTTATAGTGGGCATTGTTAGAATATTTTATTTAAAGTCTATCGATTCTGCCTTGGACCTGGCTCAGGAAGAATTGCGTCCTCCAGTTAATTGTTTAGTTTCTTTGATCCTCAGTTTCTTTATCCTTAGAATGATTCTGGAAAAAAATGGTTTCCTAGCACTGAAGTTTTGTTAATATGATACTCAATAGCATTTTCTGTAATCTTTTTTCAGAGTTTAAAAAAATAGCATTCTAAACAATATAAACAATACAACTTGAAGCTGTATTGAAAAATAAAGTAGTACCTTCCTCAGCTTACTCATTACATCTTTTTCTACATAGAGATCATCTTTTGATTTACCCTCCAGGTGGGAAGTAAAATTAGAGAGGTCACTTTAGAGTTGGCAGCAAAATGATAGTAAGAGGATTTCTAGACAATAATTTTGCTTCCTTAGGGTGAGTTTACAGTTGCCCCAAAATATAGCCAGAAAAACCTCTGCTCTGACATGATCTTTTTTGAAAATCAACTAGGAAAACAAACTGTTTCATGGGTCACTTTTTATTCCACAGCAAACATCAGTGCTCATGGGCCACGCGGTGTATACTGAGCACTAGTGGAAGTGCTCTGGTTTGGTCAGGGGCATCATATTCTGCTTTGTTTAAGTTGTCAGTGTGAGAATGTAATCGCTTTTACCTGCTATCGTTAATAAACCTTAATGTCATACAGATAGGTGCCAGCTTGTCTTGTACTTGCCCTTTTGCAGTCATTTGCAGAAGCATTTAACACTACCCGGTTAGAGTTGTAGAATAGCTTTTGTGATGCTTTATAGACACACTGTTGACCGCTTGCTACCTGGCATCCTTTCCTGGCTATCTTATTACTTGCCAGAATTGTATGTTTTTTTTCTTAGTTGCTGGCCCTCTATCGTGGCGTGTTGGTTCTTCCTCACTTAGCTTTGGATTGACACATGCATTGCAGTATTAGCCATTCCTGTTAGAGAACTGTGTAGAGAAGCCGTTCAGGTGGTTCTCAGCCTATGCATGTGTGGAGGGTTATTGAGAGCCAATTGGATGGCTTTGTCTCTTTTCTTCAGGCCCTCCCGGCTCCCTGCAGACTTGTTCTAACTGAACTGACTCTTTTCTTTCCCGAAAGTGCACCTCCTACGTGGCCCCCTGTGTATCAACCTTACTGATGCCCACGCCAGTTCTGAGTGTTACCAGTTTTGCTCTTTGCCTAGCTTAGCTAGTTGTAGCAGTTGTTATTGTCCTTCTTTTTCTTCTCCTTCTCCATCATCATCATCATCATCATCATCATCATCATCATCACAATCATCATCTCCATTGTGCTCTCCAGTTCATTTCTCCTGACTCCTGCTCTCCTTTGCTTTTTCAGCTGCTGCCTTGATTCTTTAATCTTGGCTGTTTTACCTGGCCACGTGCAAATGCCAGACACCTGGGGTATATTGTATTACATATTCACAGTTTCTTTCTGTGTAATTACGTTTTGGGATCCCAGAGGCTTCTTATAATAGCCTATTAAATGAATCATACTATTTTGTGAACTATTAAGACTTTTTATCCTTAATCACTATCACTATTATCATCACAGTGTCATTATCTTATCATTATTATCCTCATCATCTAACTTGCTCATCTTGTCCCCATGATAGCATTTTCTCCGTCTTCTACTTATGCTCATCTCCCATTTTCGTACTTGCTCTTCCTCCTTTAGTCATTCCTACTGTCCTTCATTCATTGATACGAGCATCACTCAGCCTTGCCTCACCCACTCAGCACTTCTGTTCCAGCACTTAACACACAGCTCTGTTGTTCTCTTGTCCATACGCATTCACAGTCCTTGAACATGCTGCTCTAGCCACGCTGTTGTTCCTGGAAAATTCCAGGCATTTCCCACCTGTTCCCTCATATATGCATTTGGCAGCTCCTGCTCACATAGGATCTTGTCAATGAGTCCTGTCCTGACAAGCCCACTCCACACTGCTCCCTCACTACCCCTCCCCGACATTCTTTCCCTTCCTGGCTTTGTTTTTCTCCAAAGCACTTACTACAGTCTGCTGTATGATTATATTTGACTTATTGGCTATAATTGATTGTTTCAATCTCATTATTAAAATGAAAGTCTCATAAAGCAGGGAGGGATTTTGTTCCCTTCCATACCCCTAGTTGTCTAGAATAGGGCTTGGCATTAAGTGGGGTTATACATATTTACTGAATGAACTCATCATTAGTTACTTCTCTCCTTTTCCTTGGTATACAGTAAACTCCTTAAGAGCAGGAAAGTTGTTTTATTTCTTATTTTTTTGCGTATACAAAACACTCAGCAAGAAATTAGGAAGTTGTCACTCAGCGGCAAAATGCTTTCAGTTGCAATTAATACTAAGCCTTTATATATTGGCCATTGGTTTGTATTCAGAAGATATTGTGTGGTGGGGGAGGAAAAATGTTTTTCCTTCTAATGTGGGCCCTGTAACAAAAGGCAGGTTAATAAGAGAAAAGCATACAATTTATTTAACAAAAGTTTGACATGACACAGGAGTCTTCATAAGAAGTGTTAAACCAAAGCATTAAGTTTGATGAAAAGTGAAAAGTTGTGGGGAAATGTGATAGGGCAAAGGGGTGTGAGCTAAAACTAGGAAACGGGGAAACTTATCAAGGACTGTTTGTTCAGATTCCTCTTGGCGTTCCTCTGTCTCTGGAAGCGTGGTGCTCCTTTCCTCGAGGAAGCTCTAGAATCTGCTTCAGGATATCAGAGTCTTTCCTCCATACACCATTTTTTCACATTACTTCAGCTCACAATAATTAGTATGCCAAGACGCCATGTTTTTGGGGAGCATGTTCTGAACCCCATCAGTGTTATGGCAAAATAGTGAAACAAAAGCAATTAATACCTTTGGGAACTTTATTCTTTTGTAGAAGCTATCTCAGAAATAGTGCCTTTCATATTGGGGTGTTACTATTACTCTTTCCTCTACACACACACACACACACACACACACACGCACACTATTAAGGTATTTTTATTAGGATTTAAAAAAATTCGTATATCTGGGACTGATTTAGTGTTAAGTCTGGTCTTTATGATTCTTTTTTTTAAATATATATTTAGAAAGGAAAAAGTGTTATATTAGATTCTGCCTCATGTTCTCAAAGGACATCATCTGCTTCTTGCTGTCCTTCCTACACATGCTATGCTAAATTATGAGACTGCCACTTTAACTGTGGACTTCCTCCTGTAGGAATCAGAGAAGATCATTGCTGAGTTGAATGAAACGTGGGAAGAGAAGCTGCGTAAAACAGAGGCCATCAGAATGGAAAGGTCAGGAGGTTAAATTCTGGGAAGTGTCTAAATTTTCTAAGGAATTTTGATTACTTTTATAATAAGAAAAAACAAAATAGAAGTTAAAAACAAAGAACTTTCTATCCTAAAACAAAAAATAAATTTGGCTGGGGACGTATGGCCAGTTGAATTTATACTTTGAAATAAAATTCACATGTTTAAATGTTCTCTAGGAAATCATGGTGCTTTAGTAGTTATCTTACTGCATGTTACTGGGTATCCATATAAAAATGGAAGATATTGGGGAATAAAGTTTTTAATTTGCAAGGAGATTGCCCAGATTTATAAAGCTATTCTGATTATTGTCTTTCAAAGTTTTATAGAAACTCTTGGTAAGAAATGAAGGAGTTTAACTTGCAAACTTTTAAATTCCCTATTCTATCTCTAACCTGGATGTGAACATTACCCAAAATAATACTTTTGGTATTGTAATAAATATACATTTTTTAAATGTTTGTCTTTTCTCATCATAGAAATTAGGCAGAAGTAAGTTTTAATGTATCGATACAGTAAATGTATCAATTAGAACTTTCTTACTTAATATAGAAATTTTAAGCTAGAATTATTGAACCAATATCATTTTGAACATGGCAACATACCATTCAAGAAAAATCAAGTTCATAGACAATACTCCATCTATCAAAGTTTCTTTCTGATTGCTTTCCTAGATTTTGAAGAAGTGGTTGAGTCTTATGTTGAGCCTAAAGGAATATCTCTTTCTTTTTTATACAAATAAACATTATGAATTATTGTCTACCTCTAATGTGAAATGAGACAGAGTTCTTATTTAGGTGAAGATAACTTTATCTAATAGAAAAATATAATTTATTTAGTATGTGCTCTTTCTCTGAAAAATAATTTCTCTAATGATGAGATAAGCAGATTTTTTCACATGTATTACTGACTTTAAACAGGGACAATTGTTTTTGCTTTGCTTTATTTTCCAGTTCATATTAAAGTGATTTAATTGGCATTTTGGTATTAGAATTCTGATGTGATTTTGTTTTTTCTAGAGAGGCCTTGTTGGCTGAGATGGGAGTTGCCATTCGGGAAGATGGAGGAACTCTGGGGGTTTTCTCACCTAAAAAGGTAGGAAATACTGTTGTGAAACTCAACCAACAGAAATTTTTTGTTTGTCTACTCACCCGGGTGCTTCATGTCTTTTGGGCTGGCCCCTCAAAGCGCCCACTCCTTTTTTTTAATCTTGAGACTTGGCTTGCTTAATTTCAGATATTTCTAATTTCATCTTACAATCTATTATGTTTATGGTTTACAAAATAAAACTCAAGGCAATAAATCTGTACCTTTTGGTCAAGATTCAGCATGTTTAATCTTCCTTATTGCTGCTTTCTCTTAAAGGCCCAGCCTAACATAGCACCCCTTGCTTCTGTTGGCTACTCTTTCTGTGTAGATTTTTCCCACAGATGCTGGCAACCCTTATTTATAACTCTCTAGAAGCAATTCCAGCTGTTCAGGTTTGTTTAGAAAAATAACCGCTTTAGTGAGCTTCTACAGTTTGTGTTATAGATAACAGTGTACTGAGCAAAGCAATTCCTGTCCTCGTCCTTCTAGCCTCTGCTCCTTTACCAGTTACAAAAAAGGACTCCAGTAATTACCTTCCTACTTCCATAATCATAGTTATGAAGTAGTAGATACCTTTTAGTTAATTAAAATAGTAAGGTGTGTTGTTTGTTGTTGTTTTTACCAAGTTGCTTCTTAGTTGTTGTTTGTATTGCCTAAGGTCAGTGATTTTCAGCTTACAGGTTTTTCCTTCAGTAAGACATTATTTATTCAGATATGATACTTAGGATTATAGAGGTTAGCAGTTATAGGTTCGCTAGTATTTAGAGTGTGCCTTTCATCTCTCTATATCTTTATATACACAACACATGTAGGTATTTAAGGATATTTTATATCTTTTAACATTAAGAACTGTGATTATCCACCCATGACAAGCACTGGCCCAGAAGGCTGCCACAGAAACACTGTGGCTCATGGGCCCTGATCCTCTTTCCTGGGCCTCAGGGATAAATTTGGCTATAGACATAAAAAAAGAACGGTGATTATAGCTGATACCTGTTTGGCTCAGTGGATAGAGCATTGGCCTGCGGACTGAGGGGTCCCAGGTTCCATTCCAGTCAAGGGCATGTGCCCGAGTTGTGGGCTGGACCCCCAGTATGGGGTGTGCAGGAGGTACCTAGCTGATCGATGTTTCTCTCTCATCAATGTTTTTAGCTCTCTGTCCCTCTCTGTAAAAAAATCAATAAAATATGTATTTTTTTTTTAAAAAAAGAACTGTGATTATATAACATCTTGTAAATATATGGTATTTAACACAAATCATAAATAACTTAAGTTTTGTGATATAAACAGCATAGAATTCCAAACTGGCAGCTCTGTTTTAAAACCTTTTTCTTACTTTACTTTTACCCATCCTGCTTTAGCTTTCTGGACTTCCTCAGGACACTGTCCATATCCAAATTCAGTGTCAGAACCTGTTTCTGATGTGTTAACGTGATTGTGGTAATCATTACTCAATGTGTGCATTTATAAAATTGACACATTGTACACCTTTTAAAAATCACATTCAACTAAATAAATACAATTATTACCTGTCAGTCATACCTCAGTAAAACTGGGAGGAATTCCTTTAAGACAAGAAAAGAAAAAAAGGAAAACCTATTTCAGAGATTTCCTTTTTTCTTAGACCAGTGTCACGATGAGCCCTGGAGTTCCGCCTAAAGAGGCCCTTGACTCTCTCAAACCAGCGAGCTTCCAAATTGCAGCGGAACATCTAGCTGAGAAGATGTAGAGGGTTTTCTAATTTATTTTTAATCGTCTTTTCCAGTTCCTTTCTTAACCCTCTCCTCTGACTCTTCTTTCATTTTTTCACATTTGCTGATACTCTCTTGGGTAGATTTTGACCCCAACACCTTGTGACTTATTTTTGGATCCCAATGAGATATTTTCACCAAAGAAGGTTGGTTTTTAAAAGATTTTAGAAATATAGCTGGGACCGGTTTGGCTCAATGGATAGAGTGTCGGCTTGGGGACTGAAGGGCCCCGGGGTTCGATTCCGGTCAAGGGCATGTACCTTGGTTGCGGGCATATCCCCAGTAGGGGGTGTGCAAGAGGCAGCTGATCGATGACTCTCTCTCATCGATGTTTCTAACTATCTATCTCCTTTCCTCTCTGTACAAAAATCAATAAAATATATTTTAAATAAATAAATAAAAGATTTTAGAAATATAGAGTTAGATGAGAATTTTTACATGATTTGTGTATTATTTGAATGTTAGTAATTTTAATTTCTTCTTTAAAGTATAGACTAATTAATAAACTAAAGATAATAACAGACCATGAAGAACTGCTGAAAATTCCAGAGGGAGATGATGGGAATGCGGGGACTGTTTATTCCATGTGATCTTACTTATATGTGGAATCTGAAAAAAACACACACTAAACTTATCAATACAGAGAACAGATTGGTGGTGGGGGACATTTTTATAAAGCAAATGAAAAATTAAATATTTATTGGGATTGTAGGGGAGGGAAAATAATTTTTCCTCTATCCTTCTGACTTCTTGGCTGAAAGCCCCGTAATAAAAGACAAATAGATTAACAAGAGAAAAACAAATAGAAGTTTATTAACATGTCTGCCTTATGTATATATGGGAGATACCCAGGGGAAATTGACTAACGCCTTGATGTGGCTTAGAGTTCAGACGTACTAGTAGATATTAGTAGGGAAGGAAGAGGGAAGATAGACCTCTTTGGGAGAGGAAATGGATTTTAGGATCCTTAGAAGAGTTGATGGGATGTGTGGTAGCCAGTGTGTGACAGTCAGTCTGGGTGTGATGTTGACTTCTGGCTTCCTCTCCTGCGGTAAGAGTCCACCTTCCCTTTAATGAAACTCCTGAGGATTTATGACTGTTGAGCTCTGGTAGGTAGGAGGATCTGTGTTGAGACAGATATGGGAGGTCAGAGAAAGCCTTTCTCTGCATTGGCTGCTTTTCAAGTGCCCACAGCTCAAAATACTTAAAGTGGCATGTATTGGGGTGGCATATTCTGCTACCCTTCAAGATTTTTGTCCAAGCGTTTACAAAATTATGATTACCCATCCAGAGAATCATCCTGTCCTAATTTTTCTTTTGTGCTCTTAATGTTTTGACCTTATCAAGAACTGGCTCTTGTTCTTCATCTCAGAACTCATGTTCTTAGAGAGTGTGTTAGTGCAGTTTGGTGGCCTGGAGAGAGTATTTTCTTTGTGCGATGGAACTGCAACTTGGAAGGAAGGCAGTCTCTTTGCCAGCGCCTGCGGGTAACCCAGGAAACCTCAGCCTCCTGTTGTCACAACTTTCTCAGGGCACTTGCTCCAGCTTATCTGTAACCTTTTTCAGACCCCACATCTTGTTAACCTCAATGAGGACCCACTGATGTCGGAATGCCTGCTTTATTACATCAAAGATGGAATTACAAGGTAGGTTTGTTTCTGTTGGTCACTTTAATGTTTTCTTCTCTCTTAGATTGAATAAAAGGAAGTTGTTGAAGATTTGTTGTAATGATTTGCTGATTTTCCCATCTGAAATAGTTACAAACTATCCTTTCTACGCTTCCCAAATTATGTGTTTTAGCCAGCTGAACTAGTTAGCATGTGGTTTTCCCCTAAAAGACCCGAAGTAAAAATTTTCCTCTTTACATCTTACATAAATTCATTAAGTAGATTAGTTCACTCATGTCTTTGTATAGTGCTTGTGAGATACATTGGTAAATCATTGTTCCTTGGTTTCTTATTCTGATGTAGGGAAGTTGACCAAATTTGAAAATAGAATTTGCAGTTGAAAGCCTCTGATAAAAAAAAAGTGGTACCTTTTTTGTATGTACCAAAGAATATTCTTTGGGAGAAAGCAGTTTATTGTTTGCAGTGCCCTTTATGTCTGAATTTCCCTGGGAAACACTTTCTCTTGTGTTCAGAGTTGGCCAAGCAGATGCTGAGCGGCGCCAGGACATCGTGCTGAGCGGGGCTCACATTAAAGAGGAGCATTGTATCTTCCGGAGCGAGAGAAACAACAGCGGGGATGGTGAGAGTCCTTGGCTTAGCTTTCCCAACAGCTTTCCTTTCCACATTATGGGAAATCCATGCACAAGACCTGGTGCTTATTCCCTGTCTCTCTCAGTGATACTTCCTCATATAATCCAATATTTGAAAATGGAGAAACCTGGGCTGCGTATAAATGTAGGGACGGACAGAGCTACTTTGCATGAAAATAGCTTGGACAAAAGGAGCCCTTTGTTACCGCCAAGAGCTAAGCAGGACATAGGCAATTAGGCTTGGTCTTGAATGTTAATTATTTGATAGGCAAGTAAGAAGGGAACAAATATTCTGGGTAGTAGGAGATTGGAAGGACCTCTAGCCTTAATCAGTAGAACTTTATCTAAAAAGAAAGAAGTCAGTATTGTATATTGTACAGGTTATTAACAAAACAACAGTAATCTAACCATATTTTTGTGCTATGTAATTCATTCATTCCTTAATCAAAAGATTAGCTTTTGATTTTAAGTTTCCTATTATCTATATTTCATACTTAAGATTTCTGATGGTTTACAATTTTATAGATTGAACTATTAGATATTACCAAAACAGATTTTATATCTTCTGAGGTTTGTCAATTTAAATGTTTCTATCTTAGCCACAGCCCTGGTTATGGCACCCCAGAATAAACTATTATATGATGCTCAGCCACTTGGTCGGTTACAGGAATCTATTCTAGTTACCCTAAATCCTCATAGTCATCTACTTTCCGTTATTTTTCCCAGTGGTTTGTGATGCTAACATTTATTTGCATTCCTCTTAGTTATCGTGACTCTGGAGCCTTGTGAACGCTCAGAAACCTACGTAAATGGCAAGAGGGTGGCCCAGCCTGTCCAGCTGCGCTCAGGTGAGAGTGGGACAGATTTGAAATTTTCAGCAAAGATCACATGGCTTGTGTGAGCAACTCTATAATTTATTTATTTTTTTAATTCTCACCCTAGAATATTTTTTCCATTGATTTTCAGAGAGAATGGAAGGGAGGGTGGGGTGGGAGAGAAGCATCAATGTGAGAGAAACATCAATTGATTGCTTCCCGAAAGGGTCTCTATTGGAGCTAAGAATCGAACCCACAACCCAGGGATCTGCTCTTGCCTGGGAATGGAACCCGTGACCCTTAAGTGTATGGGCCGATGCTCCCACCACTGAGCTCAACAGCCAGAGTGCAACTCTTTAAATTCTGAATTTTTGTTTAAAGGTTGTAGTGGTAGCATTAGGATTTATGTTCTTGTAAAATCTCAAAAGCTGTCTTTTTGCATTAAAGGAGGGTGAGGTTATTAACCTAGATATTATACATTTAAAAAGTGGTTTCTTAACTTCGTTTTGTTTTGTGGTAGGAAACCGTATCATCATGGGTAAAAACCATGTGTTTCGTTTTAACCACCCTGAGCAAGCACGGGCTGAGCGGGAAAAGACTCCTTCTGCTGAGACCCCCTCTGAGCCTGTAGATTGGACATTTGCCCAGAGAGAGCTTCTGGAAAAACAAGGAATTGATATGAAACAGGAAATGGAGAAAAGGTAATGTACAAATGTGATGTGGCCCGAATGACTGTCACTTCTTTTAAACATAGAATAGTAGTATTGATAAAACAGCTCAATGATTTCACCATCTATTCCTTTCTCCTCTTGGTTTTCTCTTTCTTCTAGGTTACAGGAAATGGAAATCCTATACAAAAAGGAGAAGGAGGAAGCAGATCTTCTCTTGGAACAGCAGAGACTGGTAGGAATTCATGCTGCATCCTCTGTTAGGAAAAGGGCAGCTTGTTCTCACACCTTCCCTGCCCCACAGATGAGCTCTCGCCCACATGGCTTATCCATCTCTCACTGAGAGCACACTCCGTTCTCTGGCTTCTTTAGTGGAGAACAAACGTACAGCTCCTGGCTGAGGCTAAACAAACTGTTCATTAAGGTGCTTTTTGTGCCTTTTAGCAAGTCTGTCAACACCAAGTGCTATAGTGGGAGCTTTTCCGTAGCCTTTGCCTCTCAGTAGTGGTTTTTGAGTATGCATCAGTGGTAGTTTTTTGAGTGATAATTACTTTTCATATTGAATTTGATGGGTGTTTGCCTTGGTTTTGTTTCTGATCACCTGATAGTACTAATTCTCTGCTCTTGAGCTGACCTAGGGGTTGTTCTTGTGCTGGGCAGACACTTTTTTTTTTTTTTTTAGTTAAACTGTGTCTAAAAGTGTTGCTGCACAGTTGCATGTGTTAATCCTTTTCTGTCCCCCTGCATGGAGTCTGCATCCTCAATTAGGAACCTTGTGGCATGTGGGATGACAGTGGAGCAGGGGCTATACAGCCAACACAGATAGGGGAGGAAAGCCTGGTTTCTCTGGGTGAGCAGCTGGAAAGTTGATGTAAGGTTGCAATTTATAATGCTAATGGCTTTAGCCTTTTATGCTGTTAATTGGTTTTCCAAGTTTGATAGAAACTGAATCTTATGAATAAATAAGTTAATTCATTAGTTAGATTTTCATTAGAAATTTTAAAAAATATCTTTGTATTGCTTTTTAGAGAGAAAGGAAGGGAAAGGGAGAGAGAAACATTGACGTGGCAGCAAAACATCGAGAGCCTCCTGCATGCCCCCTGCTGGGGATCGAGCCCACCACCTGTCATGTGCCCTGACCGAGAACCGAACCAGCAACCTTTTGGTGCACAGAACAATGTGCACCAACCATCTGAGCCACATTGGCCAGGATTAGATTTTCATTTTTAAAGCCATCCAGTTTTGGTGAATAAAACCCTTGTTATAAGAAACTTCTTGGCATTCACTTAATATGTGAAGAAAAGGCATAGAAACCTTTGGATACTATGGGTGCAAGTTAGGAATTTTTCCGTTTTTAAGATTCTTGAATGCCTGTTAATATATAAGGTTAGCATAAATTACAGCATGTTAAAACGTTGCATATAAACTACAGCCTTTTAGCCATGCTCTGCTTTGGAGAAGAGAGGCTACTGCTAAAAGGGCCAGAAAAGCCAAGGGCTTAAGCAAAAGCAGCCTTTTCCAGGGCAACTCAGTTTGGAGGCTTGGCAGTAGTTAACCAGTTCATTTGTTAGCTTGGAAGTTATAATAAAGCCCCCCTCATAATGGATTGCAAGAATAAATCAAGTGTCTGAGGCAAGATAATAGCAGTGTTGCATATAGAGAGTCTATTTAGGAGGCCTAGATAGCATTTAGTTTTTAGTAAAAATGGAAAGATTAGGTACAATGTGATTAAGGACTTGAAAGGTTTACAACACATAAAGGAGCCTTTTATCCTTATAATGTAGTGTAATCTAATAACATGCCTCTGATGGTCTGTCAGAAATCAAACGAGGACAGGTATAATTAAGCTGTGTTTAGTATTATAGATAGTGCCTTATAATTAATTGTATAGTGCTTTATAATTTACAGAGAGCTTTAACGTCCATCACTTTTTTTTATTTCTGAAACAACTCTCTTTAGTAGATTTGTATATACATAAGTAATATCACCTCCAGTTGAGGAAACCAAGGCTAAATAATACTGTCTTGCCCACTCTTTAAAACCTATTAAGTAATGGGTTTGAGGCTTAAACTTGGGTCTTCTGACTTACTTCACTGTTGTGTTCAGTAAAGCAGTACTTATCAGCTACCTAGGAGTCTTGTTAAAAAGCAGATGCTGATTCAGCAGGTCTGGGTGCGGCCTGAGATTCTGCACTTGTAACCTGCTCCCCGGGGATGCCCATTCTCCTTGTCCTGGGACCAACTGATGAGGAACTAGGGGGAAAGAACGATGGCTGGTGTTCTCTGTAACCAAGAGCTGCTGATCATTCTGTGCTCGGGGGGAGGGGTGTATTCACAAAGATGAAGTAAATGTCTCTAAGACATGCTTAGTTTCCAGGGGCACACTTACTCTGCAGGTAGTCAGGTCTGGTTGTCATTTGATCTGTGTATCTCAAAGCAAGGATTTCAAGAGCAGGTCCTCAGAGCAAGGAGCTGCTTTCCTCCCACAAGTCCAACTCTGTATTCCATTTCCATGTCTTGCCTTCAGGAGGAACTGATTTCTAATGCTTTAGCCTGAAGAGTATCTGGTAGTAATAGGTTTTTTTTTGTTTTTTTAGTTTTTATTTTTATTAAGGTATTATATATGTGGTAGTAATAGGTTTTTTTTTTGTTTTTTTGGTAGTAATAGTTTTGAATGGGAAATTTATTTTTACAATTCCTATATTTGTCAACTAACAGATATATTTTGAATGCGCCCTATAAATAAACATCGAGAGGATACAAAAGAATTATTTTTCAGTAAATATCTTTAATATTTGTTATATGTTATCATTTTTGCATAACAGCAGCATTAAAAAGCGGAGTTTTCTGTTACCATAGTTCCCCATACGGTGCGTCACACTGTTATATTCTCTTGTAGTTAGTGCCCTGTTGTACACCTAGTCCTTTTCATGCTTGCTTTTCTCTCTTCTATTTGTAAAGCTTCTTGCAGTCTTTTCAGGAGGCCTACTTTACATTTGGTATTTAAGGAAAACAGAAGGATCTTTAGTGACATGTGAACTGGCCAAACCTGCGTAGTTTTTCCAACTCTCTAATAAATGAATCTAAATATCTTTTTTCTTTTCCTGACATGAGATAGAATTTACATCTTGGCATATAAATTTTGCATACAGACTTTCTAATATGATGGTCAGTATGTGAGGGGTATATTTGAGCTATATGGTGAACATAGTATACAGTCAATATGACCATATTTTTTAAAAATTAAATTATAACCATTTGATTTAATATGAGTTCTTTTGAATATATAGGCTTTCTAAGTTATTTATGTTTTATTTTGGAGTTTTATCTCTTAGTCAGGTTACTAAAGCAATGATTTATTTCCTAAATTAGGTAGTATTCCCTTAGTTCTTAAGCAATTTTAGAAAGAAATGGAGTCAGGAAAAAAATGATAGTTGTCAACTATGTGGGAAGAATCAAAGAGAGTTTGTTTTGTAAAACTCCATTTCTATATACTTGCAAGAAATCCTTTTTATGAGGCAGACATACTTTTTCTCTAATACTAATATCTTTTATCACTTAAGATTAACCATTCTGGTTTTTTAAACTAAAAATGAAAAATAAGTAGTCTAGAATCTATCAGTTTAACTTTATCTGCTTTTTGTTGCCAAATTTTTAAGTAGGTGGGGCTTAGATGTTGGTTTAGTACCCATTTATGGACCAATATAAATCAGTCAAAACAACTCCAAATTCAGGGGCCAAATTATTGTCATGTTAAAGGTTACTTTTTGTCCCTAAAAAGTAACTATACGTGGAAATTTTGGTATAGAAAGCAAGATATGTACTATTTATCAATTCTGATTTTTGAAAACCTTTACTAGAGATAATTTTGGTAGTTATAGCCAGATAAAAGAGACTAATAAGTAAGCATATTTTCATTTACTCGGCCAGCTTGAATTATTCAGTGAGTAGTGTCTTTTCTCAGTAGTCTTTTCCTGAATAGAAATTCTTTTTTAATCCTGTTCATCATAGGGAATTGTAAATCCAACATAGCTTTCATTTAGATCCATGTTATCAAGATTTGCTTGTGTTAGTTAAGAATAATTGGTTATTGTCTAGACGGTTATTATCCCAAATCAGGCTGCAGTTTTAGGTCTAAGTAAAATGTTTTGAAAAAGAGTCAGTGGTGCAAAGATAGCCAGAAAGAAAGTTAGAGAAAACATTTTAAAGTGGATCCATTTCACAAAAACAGTAAAAGCTTCCTGTTTTATATGTTGATAATGAAGAATTATCACTTAAAGTGATATTTCTCAAATAGCTAGAAATCCCATGGGTTTTTACAGAAAACATCTCTAAGTTGTATTTATTAAAATATTACTTGGAGAATCTTAAGATGTTAATAAAAGTTTATTTGCCTGATTTGATTTATGTTCTAGAAGTTTGTTTCTTAAAATTTTGGAGGTGAGGTATTTATTGATTCAAGTGTGGAAAACAAAATAACAGATCCACTCTAAAGACTCTCTTATGCTTTCTTGCTTTCTGGATAACACCTCTAATTGTATAAGTGAAAGGATCAATTAGACATGACACAAGAAAATAGCAAATCCAACATATGCTCACGGAAAGACTAGTTTCAAAACCCTCTTGTCCTCTAGAAAAACCATTTGGTTGATGAGAACTCACATGGTCTGCTAATAGATCCTTAGCATTTTTAACATCATCCCTGTTTGCTTCTTTTTCTACTTTCTCATCTTCTAACTTTTTTCTAGGGCTGCTCTCTTTAGTAAAGCTAAACAGAACGTGGCATCCTACAGCCTTTACTAACCTTTGTTAATCTGCCTGCTCGTCACACCTTGTATGGCCTCTGTGCTCACTCATGGGGAAAGAGTTTCTGGAAGAAGCAACAGCAATAACCAAGGCAAATGTGGGGAAGTGGCTGCATGGGTGTTAGCATGAATGGGGTGTAGGTTTTACTTCATATTCTTGAGATGGTGGAGGTATTATTTTATACCCTTTTCTTAATAACTCCATATGACCTCAGAGTGAGAGTCTCACTCGCGGTGTCCGTCTCCCTAAGAAATTTGCTTGCTATATTTCATACGTATGCCAGAAAGTGAAATTTGGATTAGTGTTACTAAACAAACCAACTAATCTTTATATTAATAACAATCTATATATGCATATGTCTTAATAGACTTGCACATCATTTAAGATTTTTGTTTTATAGGGGTTTGTTTTGTTTTTATATTTGGTTAAG